GGGTGCGACTGCGTTTGTATCTGCGTCTGTGTCTGTATCCGTGCCTGGGCCGCGCTTCCCGCCCAATTTTCTTTCCAGCGCTTTCTCATTTTCTTGACATACCCCGAAAGGGAGTTGTGGTAATGATGACTTTTAGACACTTGACCCTCCTCCTCCACACCCCCCACCTCATCCTTGTTGGGAAATAAGTGATAATCATCCGTGCCAAAGACGTTGAGGACATGTGGATATCTAGCCTTGGGGAGGCTTACCCCTTCAGAATTAGATATCCAAGCATTTTGTCCCGTGAGTTCACGCGGGTGGGGTTGCCACGAGGAGATAATCACAGCATCAGTTCCGTCCCCGGTCGACATGGGGCGAATACAGCGATGGGTTCCGCGTTTCCATGCTCCTCGTGAATAACTGGGGAGAGTGACGAATGAGGATATATACGTCTTACGGTCCTTAATATCTGTCTGACGAATGTGGTGCCATGGGATGATATCCAGTTCCATTGGTCCATGGATTTCTATTCGTTTAGCGGCTGGGAAGCAGTTTTTGCTCGTGAGGCCAAGAAGTAGATGGTGAGAAAGCTCTGTCTGAAGGTCTTCTTCGGCGTGGTTACCTTTTTCTTCAGCTGGGAGTGTTTCAGATGATGGTGAGCAACGTGTTACCCATCCGAGGATTGCACTGGAAAGTTCCGTGTTGATAACCAATGAGCGGAGCTTTGGACACAGGGGAGCCTGCAGTTCCCCTCGACATCTGGAACAGGAACTTTGGGCAGGTATGCTTATGAGGCTCGGGCATAGTTGCCTAATCCTCAGGCGGAGGTGGGTGAGGTTTGGGAGCAGCTTTGCTATATGTGGGCATAGATGTTCGCCGTCGGTGTAAACTTCGCAGCCCGAAGTGTCAATTTCAACATCACTGCATGTGTCCGGGAGGGATTCCAGGAGAGCTATCACAGCAGAAGCGGGAAAGCTCGGTTCAGCCGTGATCCTATCAATATCATCACCTAATCCAGAATCTACAGCACAGGCTGGCTGATGGTCGATCCGTAGGGAGAATATTCGAAGGGCTCGCATAACCCCGGCCATGATTGTAGCTAGATCTCTCAGTAAATGACCCAGGGGCCAGGCCCTAGCTGCAGTAGAGCTAGGGTCTACTGCGGCGACATCCAACAGCAAGCTCAGTGACTGGATAGTGAAAGCCTTCGAGCTGAGTGGTAGTCTTGCGCTTTTCACGAACCGGCAAAGGTTATGATTCCGTAGAACCACAGCAGCTTGCAACACGGGTATTGCCAATGAATACCATTTCTTGCACACAAGCAGGCATGGGAGGAAGATGTTGATTGATGTGTTCTCCCGGAGACGTAATAGTATCCTTTTGAGGGTCGCATCGTCTTCCAAAAGCACTTGATGACTGGGGGAGAGGGTGTGGTATGCAACTGCGGAGGAACCCGACGTCATTTCTGCTTTCTTTTTATTGGCAGATAAAGTCGAACGAAAGGCGGGAAAGCAAAGGCAAAACACAAGCCAAAAGAGAACTTGTATGCACTATGCATTTGGTTATCAACAGTGCATGGATATGAGGCGCCAAATCACAGCATCTCCTACTACCAGAGACTGGTACATATTTGACGACTAAACAGCTCTCCTCTTTAACACGATATATCTATTGCACCTTAGATGTATTCTTTGTTGCATGTAAACAACAAAGATAAAACCGCTAAGTAGAGTTTAATAACTGGCCATTGGAAAGAGCAGTGGAAAAAGCAGACGGCGTGGTTTCTTTCCCGCTTGATGAAACAAACTTCCAGCTGGCAGCAGGAGTAAATAAACAGAGCGTTCAATCAGCGCGGAAAAGAAACATGCGAGGCAGGTTATGCATGAGAGCAAACAGCACAACTCAGATTGCCAGTAGGGAAGTGGGAGAGCTGCTGGCATGATTAGCTTAAATCTGTATATCGGGTTGGTTCTGCACATCTTGAATGGAAATTGTCCTTTCTTGAGATCTCTATCTTGTTCATTGTGTCAAGTCAGCTAACAGGGGACGACGAATAACGAGTAAAAATCCTCGAAGGACCCGCTTGAATAGCTACATAGGTCTGCAATATGACAAGGACGGGTGAAGGACTTCTTCCTCTTGGTTGGAGAAACGAGAAATACAGCCACTTGCATCTTGAACAGACCCAACATAATCGGAGCCTGGCCAAAAAAGAAAGAGAAAGGTACCATATTCAAAGGCAGAGGCTACCTGGGTAGAACCAGGTAATGTGTTCCATTTGTTTACTTTTGCACTTCTGGTATCCGGCTAACTACCTAGGTGTAGCTGGGGTGGATACATGTAAGAGAAGACAAAGTATCTTCTTCTTCTTCTTCTTCTTCTTCTTCGAGAAATGAGTGGAGCATATATCTTTTTTCCATTTCCATCACCAATAGAAGACACCAGCAAAAATACAGCTGTGTGTACCTCCCTAAGGTATCCAGCTGCCTTCAGTTTAATTCCAACGAACCACAGGAAAAAAAAAAAAAAAAAAAAAAAAAAAAAAAAAAAAAGGGCAAAGGAAAAGCAAACGATGCAGGAATCAACAACAACATAACTGGCAGATTTCCCATATCCTATTTCCGCCTGACCAGTTGTTGGGAAACGCAACCCGGCGCGCGGAATGAGCTTGATTGATCAGCGCAGTAAGGGGCAGGGGGACCAGCAGAAACAAGCCAGTAATGGAAGGACAAAATAATTGAACACAGCCCAAGTAACCCAAGTAACTAACTACTCTCCCGTCCGTCCCCATGATGTGAGTTCAGCTCCGATGGGGACAGCATCAACAGGCGCAGGTGTGGTGTAAAATTCTCGTCGACCACTCATGCTCCCCCCAGCCGCCACCAGCGATATACCCGATATTCCACTGATGGGGATGACACGTGGGAATGGGGCGAAAAAAGGAAAAAAGGAAGATCCGGACTGGAGCGGGATACAGAGGAGAGACAGACAGTAAGTACGGAGAGAAGGGAGAGGGGAGACTGAGACCATGTCGTGCTGCTGCTGCTGCTAATGTTGCTTGCTTCTGCTGTGTGCTCTGGGCGTTGTCGTCTGCCTTGTCGCACTGTTGAAGAAGTTAATACAGAGTAACTTATTTTACATGATGAGATGTTTGCTTGTTTAGACATGCTTTTTTGAGCCAGTTGGGTGCTTGGTGGAATCTATCCTTCCAGTGGTGAGTTGAGGTTGAAGGAGAAACTATCAAATTGTTGTTGATCCACTGTCTGTATCCAACCAAGCTGGATATAAATTGTTGCAGCAGCGGCCATGATGATAATATTCCTCGTCTTCTCTCGTTAATTAGTCTCTTTTTAACAGATTTCCACTTGCTGACGGGGTGACTTTCATATAAAAACATATCAAATATAGTTAAAGAAAAAAATATAACTAGTTAACAAAACCAAAACAGAAACAAACAGAACAAACCAACCACTTGTGTTGTCATCTTCCAGCCATTCCCCCTGTCTCTCTCTGGCTTGGCTTGAGGGTATGGTATAACTACAGCTGGACGGGTTTGTTTGTTTTAGAAGAATAGTAAAATAAAATAATAAAATAACAAATGGTGCCTGTCCGGCGAGCCAACCAGCGGCCAGCAAACCAATTAATGCGAAAATGCATGCAGTGCCAGCTCATCAGCGCCGATGACACCACACCAGCACCAGCACCAGCACCAGCACCAGCACCGAAACAACGAAAACAAAACCTAGTGCGCGCGCTTTTGATTCGACGCCTTTTTTTGTAGGATTGCTAGAAGGGGGGAGAGAAAGAGGATTTTTTTCGTCGTTTCTATTTGAATAACCTCAACTAAATAATCTAATTCATCTAATTCAGTTGGTCGGTTCCTTTCCTCTCTCCTCCCGACATACAGCATACACATCCTCACCCACCCCGCTGATGGATGCTGCCCTTAGACCTTGGTTGCATTGGACCAACGATGTGCCAGAGTTTGATCTGCGGCCGCTGGCTACCGCTTGCTTCCAATCCAGACTCTACAACAACTTACAGGGGGAATGGCCGTTAGTTAGCCCAACCCGGACAGAAATCCATCCCTCCTCTCGGCTACAGGGCGACACAAAGGGGAATTAATTCGTTCAACTAGATACGGATTAACGTTACCAGGTATTTAACTAGTTGATGGGTGGGTGGCCGTTCCAAGCCCGTTTTCTACCTTTTTTCTCGAGAGAAGGGGGAAGCTAAATAAGAGAACGTTTCATTCCCTACCCCCTCGAAAGCCCCCTCTTGCAGGGCGATAGGACGGGGGGGGAATGCGGTTCGTGAAGAAGGCCTGTTGATACCAATCAACATCTTTCGCCGGACAGTTGCAGAGCAGAAAGAACAGAACAGTAACTACATGGGTGACTCGATGACGTCTATTTGTATCATTTGCTCCTAGTTAATTCCTCCCTTCCTCCCCCTCTTCTTTCTTCTCTCTTTTTTCTTCTTTTAGTAGTAGGGCTTTGAGCATGCAACTCGGCGCGCCTGAAATGATGTATCCAAGTGAAGTTACACGGTTGGGATGTTTATTTCTTCCAAAGTTGGGCTGACTATTTAAATAGCCGAACGAATTTAACATAGACTGCAAACTTCCCGGTGACAAGCTTGCCCATTTGCGTATTCAGAGTTGCACCTTCAACAAAACTCATAAATATATATGTCCATTTTCCGATGGACATCGTCCCCCAAGAGGCCGAGGAGCGGGAATATCATGGGACACTTTCCATATGTGGTCAATAACATCAAAAATCCGATAGAGGCAATCGATGCTGGTATTGACAACGACTTGTTCACTCGATTGGATAACAGCCAACAGAAAGCGCTCCCAAAGAACTTTCCCCTTCAGTAGCGCTTGTGAAAGACCAGAGGAGATCAAAAAGGCTCTTCTGGCCACCGCCAAGGAGTAGCTGAAGCTCAGATGCGAGAGCCGGTGAATTATAGGTTCATCTGGCGGGCGGAACAGAGAGAATATTTCCGCTCGTCGTCTAGAAATCGCCGCTGTCACCGCGTTGCTGTGTTACTTCCTTGAACTTAAGAATCGTCGGTGTTTCCGTCTGTATGATTTTAGGGCGAAAGTGGTGATTACCTTTCTTGCTACAGAAGTCCTCCAGTTGCTGCCGCCTCTGAGATGGATAACTACCGACGTAGTGAGATCACTCCACACCTTTTTAGCCAACTTGCTTTGCAATTCAGCAACAAGTGACTGATTTAAAATGACTGTAGCCTTTAAGCAGATCTCCCATTGTGCAACTCTGAATTTCTCGCCTACACTTGTTGCAGGACTGTTGTTCGCGGTCGTAGATACCATAATGATATGACTAGATATGGGGTCGGGCTAACTAAATGTCTTCAGGGCCTTTATTTTATTTTATTTTATTTATTTATTTTTTTTCATTTCAAGCGAAACAAGCAGTTATCTGTAACTAACTTACTGAGTAACTAGTATTTTTGATTAACAATCCACAATGACGCCAACGTGCGCATCGAGGTTGAGGCCAAAGACTCTGTGAGAGATTCCCTGCTGTAGCCTCATGAGGAAAATGCCAGTTGCCGCTAGCTAGATTAACTTAAATATAATACACAAACATTGAATCCCCCTATTTAACCTAACTAAGTACATGTACATTATAGTTAAAGGATGATCGGTTGAGGATAAACAAATAAACAGGGTTTGAGCCACGCTGGGTAGCAAATCTCCCACTTCAGGGCTCTAGAGAACGTCGAGAAAATGAAGAGAACCGCAGAGAAATTTTGGAGAAGACAGGTACATTTTACAAACTCCAGGAAAAAGCACCACAAAACACCAGACAACACAAAGCGGGAAATCGATAACGAAGACGGCCAGGAATTTCGAGGTCGAACAAATACTGGTCAACACAGGTAATCAGCAACAAGCAACACTATCTTGTCAAATGGAAAGGATATGATACCGCGGAAACACGGGAGCCTTATCCCTCCTTATCTATGGCTTGGATATCATCCTTTAGAGCTGGTATAATCGCTCTCTCAAGGTTGTTGTTGATGGTTGAGCAGTTCGCCTTGATTTCACTTCTCAACAGAACGGGGTAATGGTTGTTTCAGATCGAACGCGTTGTTGGTTTTGCAGCTTCAAGAAGCTTGGTTTACCAATAATGTTTCCTTGGTCACTGTCGCCTCAGCAAGATTTGCTTGAAGATGGTGATACTCCTCCACCAGTTGAGAATAAGCCAATCGCCTCTGGAGATGGTAGGCCTCAGCCTGTTTAATGCGTGCTCAAACTCAGCTATCTGGCTGGCATCCATTTCTTGTTTAGCAAGGACGTCTTGGATAAAGGGAAGTTTAATGGAAATCGGATGGTTGTTCCAGCTATATAAGACCGCCCACTCAATTCCTTCCTACAGAATCTCAAAGTGCTTTTACATAACTCACTGGCATGTCAAAAGCAGGTTAGGGTGAGAGCTGAAATTATCTCGAGTTCTAAAGGGAAGAGATTTATGGAGAAAATGGCCGAAGCTTTTGGATTGAGACTTTGATAGAAAGTTGTGAATCTGGAAAGGTAATATACAGTGCACCACTCGAGTTATCATAAGAACAGAAGCCCACAATTAGAACTATTAAGTGCCTTTGGGATCTGCCAGCCCAGGTGGCAATTTATACTGTTTTGTCAAGAAGAGAGGATGAAATGATGCTTCAGGCCCTGCACCTTGTGCCTAATAATAAATTAGAAGGAGGAATATATTCTCACTACTAGGCTATGCTCCACAATTTCAGAACCTTCTCCCTCTGAAAGAAAAGCCGAAGGAATTTCCATTCAATCCAAATCGTACTCTGTTTGGTGATGTTGAAATTATTCAAATCTCCAATCAGCATAGACTCGGAAGTTCTCGTCCACACATTTGGAAAGGTGAGAGTGGGCGTCAACACCCATAAATGTACATGTACAGTGTCTTCACAAGAGATGGATTTGATATACATGAGACTCACCAATCCCAGAAGCACTGAACACAATTGATGGCAATAGTTGTGGCATCAGCATATTTCTTCCCTGTGGCCTGGAATCAAGCCAATCTGACACTATCTCTCGCGCGGTACTTCTCTGGGGTGAGTGCCTCGCCTAATCTTCTTCTGTGTCGCCGTCGACTCTCCTTAATGCATCCGGAGGACTTCCAAAAGCAAGTCGGTCGGGAAACCATGTTATCCGCATAGCAGGAGGAAGCGGGGACCAGAAAAAGATGTAGTGGCTAGTAGTAAGTAAGTACGGAGAGATTGAAAACGTGCAGTAGAGACAGTTGTCGCAGAGGAAGCCTTGGAGAAGAGAAACGCTCAAAAGGAGCGGGAGATGTCCGAATTTATGCATTTTTTAAGAGCGGAGAACTACCAACCAATGAAGTTAAGCATAAGTAACTAATTTGTAGGACATCACGACGTTCATGGTCGGAGAGATATGTGTGCCTGTCCTGTGCGAAAGGTCAGAGAATAATAATGGAATTGGAGAATGATGGTTAGGGTAAAAGCAGCATATGATATGATATGTTCGAAACAAGCGTCCAAAAAGTGGCATTCTGATTGGCAGCACCCTCATCGTCGTCGTACAAGACCCGTTAAATCTAAACTCTCCTAGCGCTGCCGTGGTTTGTTTCGAGTTGCTGATTTGTTGTCCATCCAATTATCCAGGTATTGTATGGGGCTTCGGGGCTTCGGGGAAGTTAATTAGGTTAATAAAAAATATTAAAATATTTTCTTCTACGGAGTATGCCTTCTTTGAAAGCGTCTTGAAAGTGTTGTATGTATGTACTGTACATTATTACATACAATACGTAAGATGGGATACAGGGATGTCAATTTGGCGAATTGCGATAAACGTACGGAGTAGTTACGGAGTAGATATGCCAGAAAATAAATATGTATGGCAATGGGTACAGAACAAGAGATAGGAACAACGAGATACATGGTTTCGTTTCCCTGGAGGATATTCTGCTTCATCCAGTAGCTACCTAGCTAGCTAATAAATAACCAACCCTGTCGTTTGCACCTCTGTCGATATATCGGAAGGCGAGAGAGCCCGGGACAACGGGGGGGCGGGAGAAGTTAGCATTTAACCAAAAATACTGGCGATGGCTTTGTTTTTTTTTTTTTTTTTTTTTTTTTTTCCCCTTCCCATGCCTCCATGTACAGTAGTTACTTGTTGTGTTTCGGCGAGAATGCTGGCTGCTGTTGGATTTGGCCACTTCACTTGGTTGGCTGTTGTGGATGTGCTGGCAGATTGAATAATGGTTAATATTGGTTTCCTGGACGGACAGCGCATCAACCCGACTAAGAGCGTTAAGCTGCCATACATACACATACACACATCATCCATACTTAATACGGAGTACTCCGTACATGCTTGCCGGGTTTAAGGGTGAGAGATCTGTCTTTCTGATCTTCTTCTAAGGCCAATAGGATAAGGAATTATGAGCTGTTAAAATAGTTGACTAAATAAATGAAATAAACAAGGTGGCGGGGGAATAACTAGTTAAAGGAACATTATGTAACTATTATTTATCTGGATGCATCGAGTATTGCTGTCTGTATTTCTTTCTACACGTAACTATCGCAATGCAACCCAGCGCCAAGTCATTCCTCTCGAACAACTCATCACTCTCTCTCTCTCTCTCCACCGCATCCCATCCCATCCCATCAACCACTCGATCTCTCCTCCACGTCTTCCTTCTCTCCTCTCCTCTCCTCTCCTCTCCTCTCCCCTCCCCTCCCTTCCTGGTTTATATCCGTCTCTCTTCCTCGTCCTCTGCGCAGCCGAGTTTGATTCTCATCCCCTTGGGCGCCTTGTGCGCCGCTTTGCCTACCCGTGTGTTGTTGATGCTGTTGTTGTTGTTGCACCACTGCTGCTTGCTGCTGCTGCTGCTGCTGCTGCTGCTCTAGTTATCGCCTCACCCTCACTCACCCAGCACCTTACCCCACGTTTTGGGCTCATATAATCCACCACCCAGCATAATAACCATTCTCCCCGTCTTCTTCTCATCCGTCTCCCGCCTCATACTCATCCTATCCACATATACCACTTACACTACTTACTACTATTGTTGATAATAACCTAAGGTTCAATTCTGTCGCCCTATTCCCCCAAAGTATACCCTATCCATCCCCCTCCAGATCTCTCTCTCTGATCTACTCCGGCCTCACCAATATATATATATATATATCAGCTACGCCCCTTTCATCGCTTAGAAAGGAAAGAACACACCGTCGCGATTATTTATTATTGTTATATTTCCCATGACCCACAGAAGAAGAACCATGCGATAGATCTACATCCCTCCTTTACACGTCACACGTCCGTTTTAACTGGCATTTTAGATTCTCGAGGTCGTCCCCGTCTCGAGATCGATGCCACCAGATTGCCCATGGAAAGATGATCATTATCCAACATGCCTGTCTTCCATCGGTTCTGGCCTACGCGGCAGCCACAAGTATGGTTCTCTTTACTCTTCTTTCTTTCTTTCTTTCTTTCTTTCTTTTTTTTTTTTAATTTTTTAATTTTTAATTTTTTTTTTTGGGTGGGGGGGATTGGATTGAAACGATAAGTTTTATAGTTTTTGAGAGACTGACCTGGCGGGTTTTTTCCAGCTTTACCCCCTTCCCCGGTCGAGTCTTCGTCAAGATGCAACTCTCCGCCTATACACAAAGCGGAGCCCGATCAGCCTAAATCCCCTGCCATATCTCCAGTAGTGTCTATAAGATCTAATTCCACGGTTCCCCTGCCGTCCAAGAACCTTGGGTCCCCGCCTAAGCTTGATGCCCAACCGCCAAGTCCCAAAGCTTATCCCTCGCCAGCTCTTCAGGATAAGAAGGTTCAAGCGGATATCACCCCAAACGCAAACGCTCCGGAAAATCCGCCCGCTGCAAAGAAACCAGTGACGCCTGAACCAGTTGGAGTATCTTTTTCCCAATTTGCTGCCCAGTTCCATCTAAAACAGCATCAGGAAGCCCAGAAGCGCAGCCTCTTGCAACGGCTACGTAGCTTTCGCATCTCCATTAGTCTTTCTTCTCGGTTGCTCAGGCTTGGAGCAATCTCTCAAAAAGGTTTGGTTGAAAGTTTCAGGCTGGGTGACAAGGCTAGTTTTATTTCGATTTATAATACCATTCATGATATCCGTGAGGCGTGTGAGCCCTCCTCCTCTACGCGTGGCATCAATAACAGCAATTCGTCCTCAGTCCTGGGACACGATTCCCTTCTTGGATTCTGTCGCACTTCCACTTCTGATTCGGAAATCCGCCGCCCTTATAGTTTTGTTCACCAATTGACACCAACCTCCAAGGAGAGTCTTCTGGAAATTTTGAGTCTGGTCCGCACGGATGCTCAATTCCTCTTTGAGCGTATTGGTAGCCTGCTTCCATCTCAGCTATCTGCCCTCGTCTCCTCTGTCCACACTCTTGATGTCAGTGATTCCATCTTTCCACTTGCATCTCGCGGAAG